CAAGCCTGGTCAAGCCTGGGAAGCAAAGAGCATAGCATTCCAGTTCCCCTCTATAAAATTCAGGCTGTCTCATGGTTGCCTCTGCTATTGCTCAAAGAAGTCACGTTTCCCAACACAGCCACCCCAGAGCTTTCTCTCTGCAGAACTGAATGCAAGAGTTTCCTTGCATTTTACTGAAAATTTAGGTACCACCTCTGCTACTCAACATGAATTCACAGAGTTAAATTATACACTGATTTCACAATAGCAAGTGCAACAGTCCCTGAAGTAATGCAAGTAAGTCATTATAAATACGCAGCTTATTAATCTGTAGATTACACAATACATGTTTCTCCAGCTGACACAAAATCTATAGGGCAGCTGCACTGTAGCTGTTACATGCCCAGCAAGCACAGTACCTCCTCTGATGCATAGTGTTTTCTTGCCAGAAGAGATTTGCCAAGCTCAATGCAGGTAGTAAAGCTGTCGTTTCGGGCATCGATTTCTGCTTTGATACCCTGGTGATTGTTCATTAGTAGTTCAACAGACGAAACATCCCTAAAATGATTAATCCATGGTTCAGAAACACATATTCCAGATTTAATAGTTGTTACATTTTCAAACAAGAAAAACAAACCTAGAACTGTACGATAAAAAAATTTCAATTCCTAGATTGTCTTTGTAGTTCAGGAAGTAAGACTGCTAGCAGCCTTTCCTTAGCAACGGCACCATTCTGGTCTGAATCAGAGACGAAATAATCAAGTGTGTGAGAGAATCTCTTTGAACACGATTTTACATTGCAGTTCCTTCAGCAGCCCCCAGCCTCTGCTGGGCAGCAAACTGCTACACCACCATGAGATTTTAACAGCCTCTCTCTGAATTTCTGGCTTAGAGATACTGAGTCTTACAGATATTCCTAAAGGGACCTGCAGCCTTATCTTCTGTAGGAGAAGAGATACTTCACATTACCTTGGCTTTTCTTGGGCTTCTATCTGTCGAATAACATCTTCCATCCAAAGCATGAGATCACGAACCATGCTGAAGAAACGGAATTTGTCTCCTGTATCCACCAGTCTAACCCTGCGGCCCTCGCAGGCGTCCAACAGTGATTTCCATGCCTCTAGGACTTCATTTTCCCTCTTCTGGATGTCATCAGCTTTGTCTCCAGCATAGGCAGCCTGAAGGCGTGCAGCATCCTCCTGCAGCTGTCTCACCTGGTGTGTTTTTACAAGAGAAATGCATCAGCCTTTGGATACTTCAGTCACAAATACGGGGACATTTTAGCTGCTAATTCAACATCTGAATGGCTTTCCTATGAGAATATTTCTTAGAGAAGAATATTGGGTCAAGGGGCCCCCAAAATACCAAAGATTTGCCACTGCCTAAACCTCCTGTAAAACTGGGTGCTCATACAAAGTGATTGTTAAATGTCAGAGCAAATGGGGATCATTTTCATAATCAAATTTTCTTTTTCTCACACAAGTGGCAATGGTACTCAGGAACTCCTGTATCAAAACCACTACACTGACAGAGATGATTTTTCAAAAATGTAGATGACTTCAAACGGAAGAAAATTTGGAAATTCAAAGGTCCTTCTACAATTAGAAATGTATTTTCCTTTCAAATAAAATGCCATTTCTTGACTGTTTCACATATTTTTTGAGCCTGGAATCATTCTATTAGCTCTTGTCTAATATATATATTTGTTAATTTATTTATTTTTAAATTCTAAACATCAAATTAAACAGTCTTCTGGCTACAGGCACAGAGATCATGCCACTGTCATAACGGCCCATCTTGGTGCTCTACCTGTTTTACCCAAAAACTATCCTAAGTGCTTTCACCACACCTCTGTGTTGTTTACATATTCCATAATTTAGGTCTTGATTAAAATTACCTTTTTGAGAGACTGGGATTGGTGTTTTGTGAATGTTTCCCATTTTATGTATAAAACCTACAGCTTCTCAAAGTAAAACACTTGGAAAATCAAATGGTTGCTAGATCCCCTTTATTCTAGTGTAAACAACTATGAAAACTGCAACATAATTGAGAATTGTCAGGCAGCTTGGCCATAAAAGCTGTCTTTTCTGACCTACTGGGATAAATGCAGTCAGTTGTAACTCCTCCATTCCTTAAGCAACTTTTTCTCTTCTGAAATTCTAATTTTGGCAGCTGAACATAGTTTTTTGGTTTAGAATCCCTTGTGTGCTGTAAGAATGGCTGCCACCTTCTATTTAACATACCTTGGCTTCAGAAGATTCGGAATTAGATCAAGTCTGGCTGCTTTTAAAAATCTTAGCCTGGACTATGTATGTACTTTAAGCGTCTTCAGACTACTGTTAGGAAGCATCATAAAAAGCAGGATTGAAGTCAGAATGCCCAGATTTCTAACCACGTCAGAAAGCCTCTATGTAGGTCTATAGATGTCCTTTACCTCTCAGAAAGGAAAAATAAAAAGTGCCTAGCAGAAGAGGTTTGGTTGGGGCTCTTTGGTGTTTGTTTTTTAAAAAAACACCTAAAAACAACAAAAAAATCCCCCCCCCCAAAACCAAACAAGCAGGCTTACACTTCCCTTCGTATTTGCCCGTCCTCCAAGTACCCTTTGGAATATTGATTCTTCCATGGGACAGGATAGTTGTGTCTTGCATTCACTCAGGTGAACACAGCATAAGGAACAGGCAAATCTAAGGTGGTTTCCAGCACAATTAATATAACACCCAAGAACAATGGTAAGGACAGAAAAATCTGAAACCTGTATTTCGTATTACCTCTGGTACATTAAAAATTCTTTGCAGATTTAGTATCTGCTCAATGTTTTTCAGAAACTGACTAAAGAGACAGTATATTAAGTCAAATGAACCCTTTTTTCTTTGAATGTAAGCTATTTTCAAACTGTATCAGCCACACAGTGTATTGCTGGTGCTGCTGCCTGAGGTAACCAGAGAAAGGTCCTCTGAGGAAATGAGCGTGTTACCCTTGTGCCTCTCCATCCACTCTCTACTACACACATAGCAGGCTGAGACTGTCAGGAGACATCACAGCTTTTTGCTTTACTTTAAATCAATACAGAAATTCTCTGACTTTATGATTTCTTCTTCAGCCAAGGACTGGAAATTGAACAATGTCCAACAATTACCTACATATTCAGAAATCTGTGTAGTTATGGGTTTCTATTTTAGATAAACTAATTAACCTAATGCAATGACAGAGAAGCAGAAAGACAGATAAGGAAATGATGCAGGTGAAGTTATTCCCACAGAAATACACTTGGAAAGCAGCTGTCGGCACTCTGTCTCCCAGCCACAGAGGGGCCAAGAACAGCAGCGGAACTCTGCAGCTCGGGTTCATACACCCACAGACAGCGCCATTCGCTTGTTAACACACCTGGGTGCCGAGGGCCTGGATATCATGCTCAAATGTTGTGTGCATTCTCTGTAGTGTTTCCACTGTGTTTTGGTCTCTACCAAGCTCTTCAGGCAGTTTCTTATGTTTGTCTTGAATACGTCCTAAGATCTCCTTGGCATCATGGTAAAATTTGTGCAGTTCATAAGAGGCTGCTAGAATTTGTGTTCTCGTGTCAATGAGCTCCAGGAGATCAGCCCAGGCCTCATTGAGTCCGTCCTTCCACTCTGCAATTGTCGCAGCATCTGAATGTCCAGAGTTGATGAGCTCATCTGCCATGTGGTTAACAGTATCGACACGCTCCTGTCCAATGTTTCCAGTGTCTCGGGCAAATTCTCGGAATCGCTCCTGTAGCATCTGAAATGCAGAGAAACAGCCTCATGCAGCACTGTAACTGCAAACTGATCTGAGCAAACCAAGCAAGCCAGCCACCCACTTATATTAACCATCTACTGTGTGCAGCATCCAGAAAAAGAAGGTCAACCTGCAGCCATATCCAAAGAACTTACCGTTACGTGTTCGTAATCCTGTCCCAGCTCATGGGAACCTGCCACCACCTCCCTTTCAGCAATCCACTGCTCCAGGTCATCCACCTCGCGGTTAAGCTGGAACAGCCTGTGTCTCTCATCCAACTTTCCCCGTCTCTCTTCAGCTAGATCTTTCAGGCCTGCATACAGCTTATCCACTTTGGACTGGCGCATGCTGATACGCTCACTAAATAAAACCAGAGAGCATTCAGTCCTCATCATCTTTTACAAATAATAAAAGTAAAAGGAAAAAAAAAAAACCTACCAGGAATAAAAATTGATCTTGGGGTATTTAATCCACAGAATGTATGTCTGCTGCATGCACAAATTTGACTTAGACACACTGGATCAATCCTCTGCTGGCACAGTTGACTCTACTAGCTGGAAAATTTCACTGCCCTGTACATATAACGCCCCTGGCTTTAGAGAGTGAAGCTAGGAACCAAACTCTAAATTTGTTTGACCACACATCCCACCAGAGCCTTTTTCCAAAATACAGGCAGGATGTGAGCTGCTGAGGCAAGTAGCATTTCATTTTCATTTAAATTCTTCTTTGAAGTTCAGAAGTACTCTTGGGTTTCTTACTCCCTAAAGCTTAGCATTTCCAAAAGTGATTTATATTTCTACTTGCCATACCTTTTGCCTATATTTTTCTGAGCTATATAGCCCTGTCAAATTGCCTTCCCTCTGCCTTGTAAAGTTGATTATGTTATTCCAGCACTCACTCAGCTCAGCTAGGAAATCCACTCTCATCAGAAATTATCATGACCACAAGAGAGTGCTTTTGAGTTAAATAACAATCTTCCACCAGAGGCAGAGAGTGTCTTTCCTACATAGTCCTATCTTCCTATCTGCAAAGGCAGAGCAGTTAAATACATCAGCTTCACAGTCAAAGCAGCCTTGTGCGTAAAGCCAATGGACAATTCTGTTTGCTTAGCTGCAGCTCTTCCAGCTTCCTGAATTCTCCCACAGGGAAAGCCATTTACAAAAGCTGAGATAAATTTACCAAAACCCAAGATGTTCGTGTGCCCATGTTTAAAGTATCAGATTCTAGTCTCTGATTATACTGGAATCTCAAAGACAGTAGGCAGATCTTGGGGAGCATTGCCCTATAGACAGGCTAAATGACTGTGACCCTATGGGCTGGACATAAAAAGCTGGTTGAAAGTGTGAATATGGATCACTGTCTGTCAGGATTGCTTCAGTACTGGCAGACCTGACACCACTAGTCTGTATAAAGGATACAACAGATATTTATTGAAGGTGTACAGTACTATCCAGAAATCAGCAGCTGCACATACTGGCCTTGCTCAGGACCCTGTCTCTAGCCAAATCAGTGTGGTCCAACATGCATCCTGAACTGAGTGAGGCTGAACTCCTTCCTCTACACCCTTCTGAGCCACTTACTCTTTGCTGTAGTTTTTGTGTGTCAGAACGGTCTAATGAAGTGACTGAACTACTAAAAGAATGCGTAATCAAATTTAAATTGGCAGTTAATACCTTTCTGGGTGATTATCTGCCACCAAAGTTCTGCTGGTCTTTGAAAGCTGGTGAACAGTTTCAGCATAGTCTTCTACAGCTTGTTCCAAAATCTGGTGTTTCTTCAGCATGGACACGGCACTCTGTTCATCCTGTAATGGTGACAGAAAATGACAGTCAAGTCCCCCACTCCAGAGAAAGACACCACACAGTAAGTTCAACTTGGTGTGCAAGCAAAAAGTGGTAGCCAGAAAGATTTATAAGGAACTGCTCCCAAGTTCAGCTTGAAGACAAGCTGCTTTGACAATGGTATATTAATAGTTGAGTTCACAGCAAATGATACCCACAGAAAGCAAAATAACAAGTGAAAGAGTGAATGCAACAACCCCTCTGGGATGGAGAACAAAATTACATCAGCTGTGCACTGAGCATGTTGAATTTCCTCTTCTATGAAGCTCTTTGTGTGTTTACACAACATTGGTGATTGTACAGGGCTCAGAAAAATGGAACAGTTTTAGGCATATCACTTGTCAGGCTTTTCAATGACCGCCTGGGTCAAAGAAATTAAATCCAATGGAGCCCATGCCAAAGGATTCTCCATCGAAGTGCCTGGAGAAATTCTGATGAAAACTTTCTGTGCATTGTTATAATTAAGAAAAACAACCCCCAACTCCCAGTGTTAACTGGTGTTGTCAATAAGCCTTTTCATTACAATATGTTTTGTGATGTACTATTCACACTAATAGTCTTTTTTATTTGCATTGCTTATATATAAAAAAAGAAAACAAATTCTTTTTAACCGAGGGCTGAACACCCACGGAAGTTGTTATACTGATACAAAGCTGAGCTTTATTTTATCAGGGCAATGAACGCAGTATATTTATGTAAATAAGAAATACAACACAGCACTAACACTTCCTTGAAAAATAGAAGTTCACCTACTCTTTGGTATGGTCTGATGCTGTTCCAATTTCACTTCACTGGAAAAAAGCTGATGACTATTGGCACCAACTGAGTGATCATCAGGCCTGTTTCACAGACAGGTGCATTTTTCCCAGTTTTTCAAAACAAATAGAAAACTGGACTGGTAACTCTGACCTTAGAGCAAAGGAAGGCACACAGTTGCCATTCACAGTCTGAGGATGCTTCACTGGCTCAGTACATCAAGGCCTATCCTCCACACTATCAGAGATGTCATAACAGATAGAAGAGACAATCACAAGGGAATTAAAATTGTTTGTGTTACCATTACTTTAGCAACATATTAAATTATGTCACCTGCCTCTCTCTAAGTAAGCAATTAAAACCAAACTGGTGTCACTGTGGAGCTGCTCACCTTGGCTTTCTCTTCTGACATCATGTAGAGCTCCTGCTCGCTCATCCAGGCCTCAGCCTCGGCAGCATCAAAGTAATACTGCTGTGCTCTGTGAGACTCCTCTAGGCGCTTGTGGCGTTTCTCTGTCTCCTCGATTAGGAGGTTCCACAGCTGCTGCAAGTCTGCAAGTCTCTGCTGAATTGCTTCAGCATTAGGGCTACTCTCTGTGATAATGTTTTGACTCCTCTCAAAAATGTCATCAATACGAGGCTGATGTCCCTGGATTTCTTTTTGAAGAGTCTACATGGGAAAAAAGCAGACTGATGAGACACTGCACCAAACAAAAAAGAAATGCTAGTCTTAACTCTAGAGGACCAGCAAAACACATGCCATCAGCTCATGTGGACAAACGGGCTGTGCTCTCCCTGAACATGTCCCAACCCAGTGGTCACATCGTCCCCCCATAGCATGTCACCACTGACGCACCCATCATTTTACCCCAAGCCTTTCCTTACTGAATTAGTCAGCACTAAGGAAAAATAACAGGTATGGTGCTCTAACAGTACCTACTTACCTGATTTTTCTTTATTAGTAGCTGCACAGTCTGGAGGTTGTGTCCATGATCAGTAGATGTAGCTATAGGCATCCTCTCTCCGACCCATAACTGAAAGTAAGAGAAGAGCACATATGATTTCAAGCAACCCCAGTTACAGCTCGAGTAGCAGAGAGGGGCTGGTGCACACAAGATGCAGAAAGCAGCATTACTCAAACATACTACTGAGAGACACGATAGAAAGGTTTCTTCCTGGGATAGCTCTGCAACAGGTGTGACATTTTCCTATTGTCTGGGGAACAGGACTTCTTTTATACTCACAATTTCATCTTCCACATCCCGGTTGAACTGGTGGATCTCTTTGGAGGCCAGCAGGTTTGCCTTTCTTTCATTCAAAGGTTCCAATAATTCCAAAAATTTCTTTTCTACAGTAAGGCGTTTGCCATCTACTTCATCTGTACTCTTCCCTTCTTGGCTTAAAGCCCTTGCCTGGCTTTGCAGCTCCTCTATCTCCTTCTTACGAACATCCATTTGATTTTCTAGCATCTAAACAGAAACATGGCAAAAAGGTCCTGAAAACTGGGGTAAAAGCAGCTGATATTACTCGAGTACATCAACGGCTTCACAAGAAGGAAAACCAGATGCTGGTCAGTAAGGATTTACCACATTAATAATTATTGTAGCATTCATATTGCAAGGAACAAGGCTTAAAAACAGATTCCCAACTGTGGCCACCTGCTGATATCCCTTAGGTATGGCCAATGACACAGCTGGATCTCTTCTATCGGTTGTTCACGAGTTACCCTGAACAACTTTGGAACACAGCTAATGGCACACAAGAGCTTCGTTTGCTCCCTGCTGTCCTTGCTGCTCCTTGCTGCCCTTACAGCGGGGCACCAGGGACTGGCCAGCTTCAGACAAGTCTGAATCACAGGCAGGCAGTCACGTACAGAGGGAATAATGACCAGTGACTGGAGAACTACAACAGGAGACAGAATACAGACATTAATGTGGGGAAGGAAGACAATACAGGGTAGAGATTGTACCAATAAATTTATGGCTGATTTGTTTCTGGGTGTATTTATTGCTTCTTTTAAAGACACATGAAACAACACAAAGAAAGAAAAGCAAATAAACTATTTTCTAAACTGAAAAGAACCCCCATCTGTTCCTTTGAGTGCAGATATTTGCTATCTGCCCACTCTGCAACCTGTGCTCTGTTTACCTGCTGCTTCTTCAACAGGATGTTGACACTGGTGAGATCTTTTCCATAGTCGTCCGACTGAATTTGACTCTCCAAACCATTCAGCCACTTATCCAAATCAGCGCAGCTCTGGGTAAAAAGCTCCGCCTTGTTTGCATCAAAGAGACGCTGAGCCTTGGTCTGGGTAGTGGATTCAAGCTCTTCCCACATTTGATGGAGACCGGTCAGCTTTTCTTTCACTACGGCTTCAGTTTCTGGTTTCTCTGCAATGAGCTGCATTCCCTCCTGCAAAACAAAGAGCAACAAAATGGAACCTCCTCGGAAGCACTCACAGACCGTTAGTTAAATTATTCTGATTAGTAAGCACTCAGGATTCCTCATCTGCTGGCAGCATCAACCACTCATTTTCTATCTCCAATTATCCAGTGACTCCTTCCAGAACACCATCTCCCAGTTCTGTCTACTGCCAGGAAGAGGGTTTCCTGGCAATAGGAAGGTCAAGCAACGCCTCCTTTCTTTTCCATACTACACGTTCCTTTGTGGAAGCTCCTGGGGACACCTCTCAGATGGGAATGGAGCAGGCTGCCCCATGTGCCTTTGTGACAGCGGAGGAGGGAGCTGCAACTGAACAAGCTGTGTCTCCAGCTTCCGTGGGCCATTTCATTGGGAGAGTGATGAAGACCCAGGGTAATGCTGGGAAAGGGAGCTTATGGCACCAAAACTGAGCTGTGCCACTGAAGAGAGTTATGTGGATGGGTTATAGCAATTACCATGGGTCTAAGCTAATATCAGAGAGGAAAAATCTTCCCCGAGAAGCAGGAACCCTGTACCTAGCACCAGCAGAGCACTTGGACTTAAGATACCTTTTTGCCTTTACAAAGATTGTAATTAGTTTTGGAAATATTTCCTTTACTTCTAATTATACTTCTACCTCTGCAACTGAGCGGTGCTGACAAGGAACGAAAGCTTTTCAGATGTGAACGCTGTTCATAACTCAGCACATTTAATAGCTGTGACCACTGGTAACATTAATACAGTGATTATCAGCTGCAGCTCAATACACAATTTTGGTACTTTCCTGCAATATGATTTTTCAGAGGCAAAGGGTGAGGATGTATTAGCATCACTAAAAAAGTACTTACAGTATTAAAAGCAGCCTTCTAATTACACCATTAAAGAGTATTGCTATTTGTAGATCACAGAAAAGCCTCCAATAGGATACAGAGTGCCAAAGTGGGAGAGGAAATGAGCAATTAAGCTAACTTACACTGAAAGAAACCCACTGTCATACCTCCTTAGTGTTCCAGAGCTACACATGAGAAATGGGAAGGAAAGTACAGCTCATCACAGCACATTAAAGCCTTCAAAGTAACTCGATACAGAGCTGTGAATCTTAATTAATCACAAAAATGCCTGTACTTTACCTCATGCACTAATTTTGCATGGGGAAAGGCAGTCTGCTTATAGTCCTGAATGAATGAAAACCAGCATGGGAGTCTAAATTCAGTTATTTGCCTATATTCACTTATTTCCCAGGAAGCACTTCTACTTTATTAGCTCAAATCACAACATTTGCCCCTTTTACCCTCTGGGTATGAAAACTAGGTTATGCCTTTCTCCTAACAGATAGGAAAGACTAGACAAAATTAAATTGGCAACTTAGCCAATAACTTCTGTGAGAATGTCTTGGATAAAACACATTTAAAATCAATGAGGAATAAAACAGGTTAGATGGAGACACAACGTGATAGATACTTATTCTACTGTAATGAAATCTCCTTTTGCCTTGGCTGGAGAGATTTGAGAACCAATTCTGCAGAGGAACAGATCTCATCTCTGTGCATAACCACCTTTGACAAAGATGAGAGCATTTTTCAGATGTTCTTCAGTTACCTTTTCAATCTTCTCCAGCCATTCTTTGTTGGATGCAAGTTCTGCCATAAATGCCTGATGCTTCAGCCATTTGCTATGCAAGTTCCTTGCCTCATCATAGGACATATCCTGAGCCGTGAGCATCTTTTCATTGATCCAGAGTGAGAGCTAGAAAGGTAAAATACACAGGTGTTTGTGAAAACATTTGTAGTGTGAAATAATGCAAAGTACCAAAATGCCTCCAGATCAAGGATAAATAGATGCCTCTACAGAAGAGCTGCATAAGATTCACAGACTGCTTTTACTCAGGGTTCAGTCAAGGATCCACCTCTTTAACAGTTAAATTTAAACATCCATCTCCATCCACCTCCAATATACAAACAACTCAAGCAGAAAGGAATCAACTCTGTAATGAGCAAAATCAAACACACAGGTCTCACCCAGTTCAACAGCAAGAGAAATAGGGACACGTGTCCTACTTATTGGTCACAGTGTATTTTTGTACTGCTTTTCTCTTGCAACATTACTCAATGTGCTACTCAGGACCGGGACTGAATGTCATCACCACACCCCTGGGGAGCCTTACTGACTTCCTGAGGACATTGCAGAAGTACACGCTAATGAAGTGGCACACAAAAGAATGCTCCAGAATTAAACAGAGCCCCGAGGTAAACTCTTCAGGGAAACACTGAATGATAAATTCTGTATTTCTACTTGTTTCAAAAGCCTTAAGAATAGAGACGGTTTTGTACCATTAATTCACACATTTGTATTTTTTCCCCATAGTCTTTTCTCCATATAGGTTTGCATAAATAAATTTGTTTGTCCAATCGCCAGTAGGATTTTGGTACTCAAGACTTATCCTTTTTCCTATTATGTAAAATCCAAGACTGATTTAACCCTGATTTTCTACAAATACGAAGGCACCAAGGAACCATTTTCAGATCAACACTAGAGAAAATCAATACTTTAAAAGACAGCTTATTTGCCAAGGGCAAATAGAATGTGAAGATGACCATAGCAGTCAACAACTCCTAGGGTGAGTCTGACTGCTTTATCTATCCTTTGGGTGTGGATAAAAAAACCCCACATTCACAAGACTGTTTATAGTATTTGAAAAAGATTCATTTTCTGCATATTTAGAGTCAGGTACCCAAGCGGAAAATGTCAAAACAGATCTAAGCTTTGTTTCGAGAATGTCACTTTGGTGATGCACGCTGTCCGGCTGAGGAAGCACTCCGACAAGCACAGTAACAGAGCATGGGTGAGACTTACAACTTCTCCACTATGAACTCAGGACAACAAATTGCATTTAGCATTCACAAGCCTTTTTTAAATTGTCCCTTCAAGGCACTGTTAAGCTCCACAAAAAGGGAAAACTTATCAGACCAATCAAAGAAATTCTTCATCTGATTTTGCTATTAAGTCTAAAGATAAAAATGCTTATGTTAATGAAGACCTCTGTAGGCAGCAAAGTTCACAGTTAGAACAGGCTACCATGCTACTTAACAATCAAAGGCTACATTAAGGATTACTACATAACCCAAAATTAGTGGTTTTACTCCTGCCTTTCTGGGTAGGAGACAGCTGCTACGCTCTGCAAATTGCACTGCTTATCTTTCACTGTTTGCTTTTACTCAGCCACAGCATTAAGTCTTCTGAGGATTTCAAAGTGCTTCCCAAGAAAAGGTAGTATCGTTTGTTTTAACAGATGGGGTGAACCAGTCACAAACAATACGTGATACACAGCCAGTGGCTGTCAGGATGAAACCCTCAGTTCTGACTCTCACAGTGTTATTATGTTCCTTCTGATAACACAGAAGTGTAAACACAGCATTTAAGGGGTGACTAGTAAGATCTGTTTTTTGCAACCACTACAGTCACTGGAAGTCAGTATCTTCACTGCAAAAGTAGATTTCAAAAATAATACAATAATTCCCTAAAACAGTGCCTCAGATTGACACTTGGATTATTTATTTCTCCAGAACACCGTAAATCAGTTGTTAACTCCAGAAGAGACAGCTATTAGGCTTCCTTCCATCCTTTGCACCTATACCACAAAATTTTGTTTCTGCTCTCAGCTCCCAGAAGACTGTAACATTCTGCAATGAAAACCAGGCACAAACTAAGAGAAAAGCTGAGACAAAACCCTTGTAAATCTGGCAGAGCAACAAGGTGAAAGAGCACCGACTGCTGCTGCACTGCCCAGACATTGCAAATACCGGAGTTGACACAGCCTATCTTGCGTTCACAGACGTCTGTGTTGCATGACAAAACCTGCCAGCACACTCCGTGAACAGGCAGAAAACTTCTGACATGTGGAGTCTCGCCAAACACTTTCACTCTGGCATCCCTAGGGAAATTAGCCCAGATAGTTCTGGGACTTCTAAACACTTACAGGGAAGATCAGCTTTAATCTCTTCGAAGGTGAGCTGTGAAAGAGCACGAAGTCAAAGAAAACTAAATGGCAAAATTTATCACATCTCCTCTTCTCGGGATTTTCTGCTGTCACTGCAGCAAATTTATTTAACACATTCACATTTACGAATGCGAGAGACAAAAAAAGCAGCACCACAGGATTAACCTGTGACAGACAGTGTATCTGACTACACACAACATGGAAATCTGCTGTGTTTTCCCTTGTCTGTGACCCAGAGGAAAGGTTTATCATTGCTGAGCTGTTGTTATAAGCATTCTCCTGCCACCTCCTCAAGCACCCCTGACCCTGCTCGCTGCCTCCTCGGCTGTGAGTCAGAGGCAGGAAGGAGTGAGGGGCTGGAGGCCACATCTACAACAATGCTTCAGCACGGAGTGACCGATGAGGAAAGTGGCTGCCCCGGGGAAGGAGCACATGGCAGAAAACACTCTTCCTTTCCTCAAGTTACAGACGGATGGGAAACTGTCCCTAAGGTGGTGGGCAGGAAGGCTGAAAGATCATTGCCAAGTGAAAGGGAGACTGGTTCCAATCTGCTTTCTCACAATTCTCAGCTTCATGGTCAGCGCTAATGAAAAAGCAAAAGGCGAGGTATTCCCTTGGCTCCCTTCCACCCTGCGGGACAGTGCTGCTCCATCACACAATCACTCCGAATGTAGGTAGGCACTTTGTAATCCTGCTAATGCAAATTCTGGGTCTCATTATGGCTGTCTTCTCAGAAAACAGCCATTCAATTATTGTCAAGGCTCATGTCATCTCAAAAAGGATTGGAGAAACTGGTAACATTTGGGTATTGTAAGTTCTGTCTTTGAACTGTACAGTCAAGACATCCATGCTTTAGTGCCTGGAGAGAAACAATCGAGAGGAAGAGCTTTCAGGCAGCCAGACACTAGAGCTTTTATGTTTTCCTTTTTCTTTTGATGATATAGGGGAAAAAACAGATCCTAGGGAACACAACCACATTGACACAGAGGCTAGAAGAGCTCCAAGAGCCAGGGAGATTTTTGTACCAGAGATGTTACAGAGGAAGGAAGAAGCTGCAACTAATAACAGCAAATTTTTGCTAATCTGTCATGTTTTTACTACCAAGGAAGGAGCAATTTAAGCCAAGTTCATGATTAGCTTACGCAATGCAGGAAAATAGACTGCAGCTAGGCAACCAAGCAGTAAACATCATTTGCCCAGTTTATGATCGTAATTTTGTTTGTTTCTTCTATGAAATCTCAGCTGTGGGCAATTCCAGATTCCCACTGGAAGACACATTGCAGTGACTTCCAGTCTCTTGTAGATGTACAGTTAATATATTGACGCTTGAATTTAAAAGTACAGCTTTGTCAGTCAGCTCTCTTCGCAGGCTTCAGATAAGGACAGGTAGTTTTTAATGCACCTCACAGGCAAGGCTCTTTTAATATCTGTCAGTACTGCATGAAATCACCTGAAAATTACTTGATTAATTCCTCATGCTATGAATAAGATTATTCCTAACTTTAAAATGTTGCCTTCAGTGTAAACAGTCCATGTAAGTCACTAGAAAATCTGGAAAGGATTTATTTTTTAAAATGTTATAGTACTTAGTAATTTTAAACACAGGCAAACGATCAGATAAATAACACATTAAAAATTATCCAGTTTAATCCTGCTCCCCTCTAATTCATCATCTCCTATTCTTCTGACTAATGTTTTGTAGAAATCACTTGAAATTTCATGCACTGGGCCACATACTTATATACAGATGTAGAAAAAATTCTTAATGAGTTCAGTGCTAATCCCACCAGATTCCACATGATTAATTTATACCACAGCAGAAAATCTTCACTGCTTTTGGCAATTTTCCCTGTCTTTAGCTTAGATGACAAAAGGAAATTCAGTTCATGAGAAAAAAAACAACCAACCAACCAAAAAACAAACAAACAAAAAAGCCCCACCAAAAAAACCACACAAACCAAACAGATTAATTTTTGCAGGGTTCTGGGCAGGAGTTTTTTTGAATTGTTTACTCCACACTAAATACTACTGTATGACTTCACTGCAAAATGCTGAGTTATTCCAGTCCTTAAAAAATATGGGGTAACAATGCTCTTCTGCAGGATCCAGCTTTTAGTGATGAAAGTGAAAGGACATAATTTACCTCTTGACAATCCTGAAGAAACTTTTGAAGATCCCTGTTATCTTTCAGCCTCATCAGAAGTTCACTGGCTGCTTCACGGTTCTTCCTATGTCTAGTCAAAAAAATAACAGCAGAGAAAATAAACTTGAAACAGGCATTTCATGTAAAGCTGTCATTTATTCGTTTCTGTAGCCTCATATTGAGTAAGCATTGACACGCGTATTGAATAAGTATGTGGTGTGTGTCTTTCACTGCTTTTCAAATAAAGGACATTTTTGAAGCTCAGATATGCATATGTTATTTAATGTGCTTACTTAACTTCAGCATCTACTTGCTTCTGTGACCAGTTAAATATACAGGAAAAATTCTGAAGTCAGCAGGGTTTCCCAAGTGTTACATACAGATTATGGCCTGTTAATTTGAAGATTGCAGGAAAGTTCAGACTGCTTGCCAAAAAAAAGTTAAGAAAGCTATCTGCAAAATTGCAGCAGTAAGATTGCAAGTTTTGTGGCTCTTGCAAAGCGCGTACTTGCTGTAATACTCTTTATAATATACCTTTGCTAGAAGCTCAGCACCTCCTTCTCCTGAACAAAGCTGCAGTGGTTTATATAACCTTCCAAAGGCTGCATTTAACAAACAACGCATGCAACACACTTGTGTGTTTCTGGAAATAGAAGCTTTACGGACATTGGAACATATTTTTCAGCGTACTTAAGAGTAGACAGAAGAAAGGAAAAGGTTAGGCTAGAAGCCCTATTTTTAATTCCTAACTGTTTGCCCCTTGAAGGATGAATCATGCTGGCAGTCCCAAAGGTTTTGGTGAGTTCTTCAAATGGACATGGTGCCTGAAGAGCTGATTCCCAAGGTACCTCTGAACATGTTTTTAACTAATACTTAATTTGGAGCAGTTATCCCTCTCCTTCAGTATCTTCATTATTTATGAGGCAATTTAGATGGAGGAGGCAGAGTAAAGAAGGTAATTTTTATTTACTGCTCGTTGTGTTAGATTTGTTCATGTTTCACTGTACAGGGTCTTAAAGTGAAATATTGCTGCCCTTTGTAATAATCTAAGACAAATAGGGATGGAGAGTTGGAAATTATTTTAAAGGGTGGCAATTTATAATATGATCTCAGCACATACTGGCAGTAGCTAAATAAATCCATGTTAGTGGAAATCTCCAGAGACATGATACTCTAGAAGACTATAAATTATACATTGATGACAACAACTGGATTAAGATACCACTTTTCCTGATCTACAATAAATTAACAGAGCAAGCTCTCTGGCACGAATTTAGCGTCTTCAGAAACACAAGGAATACTTAGTGACACATTTTACATAAAAGCAAAAGGTCTGTAAGCACAGGAATAAGAGAAAACCCTTTACAGGACTATAAATTGCTTCTCTTTTGTCTCCACAGCTTCCTCTGAATAACCAGGCAAGCAGTATCTATATAGCTGTAGGTCAAGACAATTGATTTACAGATCAGATGGCAAGGAAGGCATCTGTAACCAACAAAGCAAGAGGCTGGAGCCCAAGCCCAGGTAATCTTGAAATTTTGACCCGTGTCATCTGAGAGACCACAAAGGAAAAGACACATAAATTGTGCCTTAGGAAATAGCTCTGTAACATAGTTAACATCATTAGGTTTGATTCCACTCTTTCTTGGCTGGTTTTTATATGTCTGGGCAAATACAGTGCATTACTCAGGTTGCTAGAATGAAGAAAGGAATTGCTTGGGTGATTTTATCATGATGATTTCATAGATTTAAGGTTAGATTACATTATAGACTCATGTATTCTGGAGAGGACACAAGCTGTGAAATTATAAGGAGAATTTTCGTGACACCTATTTGAATAGAGCTAAGAGTAAATAGATAGGTAAGTTCTTATGCTGAGAGAACTTAAGTTTAAAAAAAAACTATCAAAAATATCTCCCAGGGAGCACTGGAAAGATTAACTTCAAGAACTTTGAAGGGAAACCATGCAGGGATATCAAACAGATTATGACATAAGGGTTTTTGTTTTTCCTCAGCATAACACATATAATCTTTGGCACTCAGAGCTATTTAACTGTAACAAGTTGTTTGATTGTCCAAGATGGCCTGGAGTGAGACTGAAAGATGAGTATTCTCTGAAGAAGAACAGGGCTAAACTGTAACAAGGTTTAAACTGGATACTTGAAGATGTGGTATGAGGATGGACACTGGTGGAACAGGTAGAAATTTCTGTGTTTTCATCATAGAATTGACGTTCTTTTTTATGGGAACAAAGGCTCATAAGAAGTCAATTCATCCGTTCTCCTGCCCCAGACTGGCTATAGCTAAACTAATTATTAATTATAATTATCTAATTATTAATTCCTTGTTCATGTTTCCCTAAATTCTTTAAAAGCTCCAATGACAGAGATTTTAGAATTTTCTGTGCAAAACTACCCCTACCACTAGAAAGCTTCTCCTGCCCTCTACTACCCGTACATCAGTTGGGCTTTAGGCAGAAAAAAAAGGCAGACAGACTGGAGAACACAACCCTTTGTATTACAAACTTTTATCCAGATACCAGAAGAGTCTGGTGTTACAGAGGCTGTCTGGTCACCTTGCTTCCCTGGCTGCATGTGCAGAGGCCCCAGCTGAGCTAGCCAGGCTTGTTGTGGTGGTGGACAGGCTGGACTGCAGCTCTGCTGAAAGCTACCACCACTTGGCCATCACTGGAGGGTGGAGAAAAGCGCAAAGTTTACTGTTCAACTGCTGACTGCAGTCGTAACTACTAAAATCCTGTTCTTCTGAGACCTGCATGGCAGGGAAGGGCCAGAAACTCAGACCCTGTCACACTTAAGGTTGTCAATGACTGCTTTTTACTAATTTGCTAAAATAGTTTGTGGAAGAAGATCCCACACTAGCACAGAAAGAGTTTGTTCTGAAGACTCTCAATTATTTAGAATGACTTTGAATTCCTCTGCCTGTTCACATAAATAATGACATATATGACCTACACCATAGCAGTGTCGAGGGCTGCATTAAAAGAGGGATTCCCTATGTGTGTACTGAAGAGCCAACCTCAGATCCAAATGTTCAAGCTAAGCCAGACCTACATGGTAAAAGAGGGGACGGGGAATGTACCATAGTCACATTAAAACATGGGGGCATCTTCCTTCTGTGGCAACATTATGAAGAATCTAAAACATGAAAAATGAGATCTGTTCAGTACAAGGAGGTGTTTGACTCAAATTAATCCAAGAGCACATCACCAAAATTTGCCACAATGTTCCCACGCCGCCTCTCCCCAGAGGCCCCTGACAATGCCAACAATGCTGAAAACTGACAAAATCACTTGTGGTTTAACTGTGAGCCTGTGGGTTCCAAAGCCTGTGCAGGAATAATAAATCTTACACACAGCGTGAATGAACTGCCTGCTAAGAATACTGAGATATACGCAAGGCAGTTTTAGCTTCTTTAGTTGTTCCAGCAAACAAGAGGCACTCTCCTTTCCAAATGGGCAAGAACAAAAATTACTTCTGTTCTCTGTAGAGCAGAAAGTTGAACAGAAGTTGTTGAAAACCAGACCCAGATGTGTCTGTCACTGTCTTTAAATTAAATTGCATTTGCAGAATCAGAGAGGCCATGTGTAGGCACACAGACTAGGGCAGTCCCTCACACTCGTCCAAGAGAAAATGGAGGAGAAAACACTTCCCCTCTGTCTGGCAGAAACAGTAGCGGAAGTCACCAAAACAGGGACAGATGCACTGGGGAGACCAGCTTCTTTCCTAGCTGGAAAAGCTAGCTAGTGATAGCTTTATTCAAACCTATCTTCTCCTTCTTCCCTCACCCTTTCTCCAGGTCCTTATTCTCATTCATTCTTCCTGTCAGCTGCACTAAAAGATTGTGCTGAAGTGTTTATCTCCTATTGCACAGCTCCACTCTGCTTCTGCACTCTCCTCTCCTTAGTCTCATGCCTACCATGACTATTTAGATGGTAACCATTTTAGGGCAGGGTCTGTCTGCTGTACCAATGGACAGCAGGGTCTCCTCTGGAACAGCCTGAAAGCATGACTGTAAAAAACACTATTAACAATACTAAAAACTACAAAGAGCTCCATATGGGAAGTATGGAGCCACTGCACATATTTGTACTTGTTTGTTTTGGTCCTTTGTTATACATTCAGGTGGAGTTTGGTTTGAAGAGTCATTTTTTGTGAAACCAAAGAGGCTTCTTTTGCTACCACTCCCACTACACCCAGCCCTAAGGCTTTGTTCTTGGGGCTTATCAGCCGTACAGACTCAGAGAGCAATCACACGGATTTCCTGAATAGCAGTGCACCGGATGGTTTTTGCAGTGCTCTGCATAAATAGCTTTGGAATTGAGGAAATGCTGGAAAAAAGTGGGCTGAAAAAAAATACAGTCTCTAGGACTTGCTGGTCATTCAGAGTAGGAACTCCAGCACATGTTCCACAGCCAGGATGGCCCGGGTGGCCAGCTGGGGTGCCACAGGACAATGGGGACACAGGGGAGTAGCTGCCCTGGAGGGAAACAGTCACCACAGTCAGGGCAGCATGAAGCTCTCTGCAGAGCACACAAGACAAAGGCTTGTCTCCCACTGTCTCCCACTCCAGTCACCTCAGAGAGGGCTGCAAGAAGCAGCTGATCATTTGCTACTATATCCTTGGATGCTATCTCTTAATGTTCCAAAAGTTGCAGAAAGAAGGCAACTGACCAGAAAGCCAGGATCAAGTCTTCCTGCTTTCATAACTGGATGGGAAAACTTATAGCAGAGGACATTGAGAGTCAGAGAAGGTAAAAAGGAAAATTCATTTCCTAGCTTTCACCTTGACTGCTTTCATATAATCTCTTCCTGGCCTTTGCAAATTTTCATTGGGTTCCAAAGAGAGTCAAGCTGGTTAGAGAGGGAATGACAACATGCTGTGTCCTTGGGGTTGGGCTGTCAGAGGGCTCAGAGGCCCTCCGCAAGCTCTGGGAACAGGAATATCCACCTTTCTCGAAGCCATGAGCCACAGTTAAAGTGGGCGCATACAGAGTGGGACACGTTTGCTAAAGCAGGAAAGGCACATTTTCTGAACCACTTCAGTGTAGTTTCTCCTTGGAGATAAAGGCATCTGGATAACTCTGAGCTTACTGGCTGTGGGAGGATGCAAGTCTGATACAAGGATCATCAGTAACATTTGACATAAATGTTGAGTATGAGCTTACTGGTGTGTTCTGATACTCATGATTGCAAAGCACCGTGAAAGACTGCACTATTACTCAAACCAAAAGCATAAAGACCCATGAATCATAACCATCAAAACTGAATATCTGGTTTTCAAAGAAAGAGAAACTCTTAAGGTTCCATAGTATCCATGCCACAGCTAACAAGACAAAGCAAAAGACTTGCTCTAGGATGAAAGACCCATTTGTACCAATGCTTCCTTATCTGATTTCAGAAGGACCAGACAAGTTGGAAAAGGTGATCAAAGCCAAGTGGGTGGGGTAGATACAATGCCAATTACACTCCTGAAGAGCCACATTCCTTCCTCAGAGGAAGGACTGGAATACATTATTATAATTAAATCAGCTAGGAGGTAGCAGAGGAAACTAAGGCTTGTGGAACCAGGTATAGCTAACTGCTACAGCTCCCATCATAATATAAAGTCTGTTAATACTCCAAGAATTATACAGCAGCACTCATATAGCCAAATTCTGGGTAGTGAGCTCATTACCTAGTAAGTCTCTAGAAAATGGGAGAGGTAATATTTAATTAAGATTAGCCTGGCACATTTTTGAAACATTACAGTTCTTATTTTTCCACAGGACAAAGAAAACAGTCTGCAACAGACATTTTCTAACATGTTACTTTGCCTTTGGATTCTGGTAAAAGGTCATCTCTCAGAGAACAGAATTAGAGTATGAACAGCTACATTCTGCCATTATTCTGACCTTACCTGTCATCAATAGAGTCCACTTTCTCCTGGATTTTATCAGAGTTAATGTTCCCATCACTGACTAGCCTCCTGCCAGTCTCTACAACTGCATTGATCTTTTCTTCATTGGCATCCATCGTGGTCATGAAATCCTCCTGTTTTTTAATAGCAGCTTCAGCTCCTTCCAAGGTAGTGGGCATTTCCGTGTGCGCCAAAACATACTCCTGTGATTAAAGCATAAATCAGAGAGATGAAAGTATTACACTCAGGCTATGCTGTCTGCTCCAACAACAGATTCACTACATAGGAAAAGAATGTCTCCCAAAAACAGTTAGAAGTAAAACACAAAAAGTAAATTATATTTAAAAAAGAGCAATTTATCTGTTTGTAGCTCTCCTGTCAAATGATCTTGTTTGTTAATTGCTTGCAGTATATAGGGCCAACCTGTGGAAATGAAGTAAGGTATATCTTGACCACTTGCCTGGTTATTAAGAAATGCTTCTGCTTGCTTGGTATCTCTGAGAAATAGCTGATAGGCATGAGACTGGGAAAGGAGATTTTGCCTGTTCTCCCACATTTTGTGAAGCTCATTCCATCCAGTGTCCAAAGCTTGTAGGCGCTGGCGTAAGAACATGTACTGAGCATCAGTTTGCCCTTGTGTCACCATCTCACCCATGTCCCTCATTTTCTGATAATCTTCCTCATAATTGTTGATTTCATTCTTAATATTCTCATGTTGAGTAAGCAGCTTCTCAGCCTCTGTCAGTGTGTTTGGCATATCTTCGGATGCAATTGCTGTCTGCGTTCTGGATAGCCAAGACTGGAAGTCATCCAGATCTCTCAAGAACTGCTGCAGTTTGCTTGCCTCTCCAAGGGACTCTTCCCGGTTCTTGAGTGTGGTCTTCATTTCTTCCCACACATCATTGATTTCTGCCAGCCGTGAAAGGATAGCCTGTGCCTGGTCAGGATGCTCTGATTCCAACTTTTCTGCCTCTTTTTGCAGGTCGCTTAGCTTGGCTTCAATAGCTACCAGGTCACGTTCCATGCCCGTCAGCTTCCTCTGCAGGGCCATCACTCCAGCCAGATCGTTACCCAGATCTTGTGTGGATTCGATCACTTTGGTCTTTTCCCTGATCCAGGATTTGGTTTCATTACATTCAAGATGGTAGTTCTGGATACTCAGAGCAGAGAGCAGAGCATCCTTCTTCCTGTCTACCAGTTCTCGGAACTGGCTCCATCTGAAATTTGTGAGGAGAGAAAAGCAGAGAAATTGAGATTTGTGTATAAAAAGGGAAAAGGATACAGCAACATTGCTGAGTGAGCAGCTGCTCACATTACCTTGGTAAGCCATGAAATAACCTAACTACTCATGGTTTTTTTTAGTCCTTCTCATATTCTCAATAGTTTTAACAAAACACCCATTAACCAAGCTATAGTGTTTATTAGAATATGACAAGTACCAGCAACATTGAATTCTTAAAAGTGTAATTTTTCCTCAAGTGAAAAATTGCTAGTTATAATTTTCTAATTTTCTCACTACATGTACTCTCTCAGTTTATTTTGAAGACAAAAAATAAGTGAGTTAATATTAAATTATATTGGTTTCTTTTTTATCATAATAAATTTCCAGCTCTCAAATCAAGGTACTGACACACTCAGGACCTGATTGAAATCAAGAGCAACACTTCATCTGTTAATCAAATATTTGAAAGACACAGCTCTTTTTTCTTCTGAAGCTTTAAAGGTCTACCTTGAAGATACTTCAGGTAACAGTGTCAGAATATCTTAAAAACACATAAAAAACCCACAAATGACCTCGTTGTACTTGTTTCAGCTAGTGTCATGTTTGTGAGCACGAGGCCTTCACCTACCTTGTGTTGAGTTTATCTTGCTGTGCTTTGATCTCCTTCTCACTTGGATGGCCGCTGTGCATCAGCTGTCTAGCAATTTGGTTCACTACTGCAACACGGGATGCCTGATTGTTCATTTCTGGTTCTAAGCTTTCAAATCTGCAGTGAAGAAAACAAACAAACAAACAAACAAAAAGATCACAGAGGCATTAGAGAATCTGAGCAACAGGCAAGCTGAGAAAGGTAGCTGGTGTAAAAAAAAACCTTTTACCCAGTATTCCCCAAACTTCCTGGTAAAGGCATTCTCACCTGTGCTGGATCACTTCCAGGTCCTCCAGCTTCTCTGGAATCTGCATATTATTCAGCCACTTCTCCTTTTCGTCAATCCAAAGCTCACAAGCATCTGCCTCACTGAACATCTTATAAAGAGCAAGGGTATCCTGCAGGGCCTGTTTACGCAGCCGAGTCAGCTCAGCAACCTCTTTGTATCTTTCCTCTATTCCAGACAATCTGCCTTGCACATCCGGAGATCCGGCATGTTCCTGCGGCAGAGCCTTTGCTTGTTCATGAAGCGAGTCAATGGTTGGTCGGTAGCTTGCTATCTCTTCAGCCACATCTTTGTGTTTCTTGACCAAGGACTGAGTGGAATACTCATCGTGGCCAACATCGTTGCTGGAGACAATTTTGAGGATGTCCAACATCCATGCATCAATGTCATCAGCGTCAGCCTGGAACTGGTGAAGGAGAGAGGCTTCCTCCAGACGCTTCTTCCTAATGGCAGATAACTGTTCCAAGTTAGCCCACTGCTCCCTGATATCCTTAATTCTTTCTCTGATTTTCTCAGACCCAAAATGCTCCTCCGCAATCATGTCTTCACCTTCTTTTATCGCCTGCTGAAAGTGGCCGCTACGACCACTCATTTCGTCTTCAAACGCCTTATGCTTACTCAAGAGACGGACGACACTGGTTAGGTCCTTCCCATAGTCATCAGATGACAGGATCTGTTCCTTCTCCCTGATCCAACCCTCTTCTTCAGCCATTTCCCAGAAGAATTTCCAGAGGCGCCGGGACTCCTCCAAGCGGGCCCTGCGCTCAGCTGCGAGCTGACACAGTTCTTGGTAACAGAACTCCATGTGAGCGACGCGGTCCCTGATAACCTGTGGGTCACACGGCTTGTAACCTGTTCAGATAGAGAATGCACGTTACAACTTGGACTGCTTAATCTTCACCTCTACAGCTGGGGCACACACAGAGCTCTCAAATCCTGTTTGTTCCATCTACGAAGTTTATGTAGAAGAATTCATAGTTATGCTCTTGAAAGTGAGCATGAACTATTCAAGCTCCACCACACTGATCAGAAAATACTGTTCTTTGCATAAATTAAAAAGAAAAAAAAAAAGGAAAGATATTCATGACTTTTCACTGAAACTAAATTCACTACTCCAGATTTATACCAGCTTCATACACAACTGCACAAAATGAACATCATTTACTTTAGTTAATGAGACTGGTTTGGTGAAATTGTTTCTATTTAGCATAAATTGGGACAACACCAGACTGTGTCCAATCATTTGTATTGTTTGCACTAGAAACACAGAATGGGGAATTAATGGTGACTACTACAAAGTTACAGCAGCTGCTGGTTAGAAGCGTGACATCCCACGCAAAACACAATGCCACAGTGAACTCCTGAGCAGGTACCTGGACAAATTAACCATTGATACAGTGAGTAAATAAGGAACAAAAGAAGCTGGATTCTCTTACTCTGGTCCTGAATTCAACCTAACGTGCCTTGCTGAACTAACGAGGCTTATAGATAACCTCATATGTAATTACGATGATCTTTAAGGTCCCTTCCAACACTAACCATTCTATGATTCTATGTTGGCTGCTAGTTACCTTCTCCATCAGTGGCAAACTTCTGAGCAGATGCATTGACCCCTCTCACTCTCTCAGCCTGAATAGCAATGTCAGCTTCCACAAGAGCATGTTTCTGCAACAGGTCTTCAACTCCTAACAAATGTTTGCCATAGTCTTGAGACAGCAGAAGCACCTGATCAAAATGTAAAAGACAAGTAAAATGGGCTGAAGGTCATAAACTGTTTCTTAATGACTCCAGGCACTGATCTCTCTTGTTACATTGATTTAAATCCAGAGAAACACCAGGCCCATAAGAAGAGCTATTTCAAATGTATAGAGACATGGCTGATAGGAATTTAAGCCAATATTTTAAAATCACTGACAACCATAAAGAACTTGACTGCTTTTTAATGCAGTTTTAAGTCTAGGATGATGAGAAGCTAAGTAACCTCAGCCAGACCAATGAAAAGCACTCAGTCCAGGTGCTGTGAGCTGTCACTGAGTTACACACATCTTTCTTTCCTAAAACAGCTTTTAAGTTCTGCTGGCTGAGGGACAAGAATAAAGTCATGGTCCTCTCCCTTCTCAGATCCCAGGAGAACAGACAGGAAGAAATTCATGCTTTTTAAAGCATAGAGGTGAAGAGGTGACTTGTTCCTCATGTAAATTGTGATGAAGAGAGATTATTTCATTCCCTTCCCCAAAATAGTCATCCTTACCCAAGCACTGTAACTAAAGCCTCCAGCTCTTGCAAGAGAGGCATGAACCTGAAAAGCAGCTTTTTATAGCAGCAAACTTGTTCTTTTTCCTTATTTGTTTTTAATCTTTATTTTTAAATAAAGATTCATTCACTGCTCTTGAATGTAGATCTTTTGCATACATCTATTAAACCAGAAGGGCAAAATGAATCTTAAAAATTTACCAAAAAGGACACCTATACCTCTCTAGAATATTTCGTCTATGTTCTCAAATGACTAACATCTACCTTCATCTCATCCATCCAGTCCATAATGTACAGCATTTCCTGGAAAATCTTCTGCAGACCAAGATTCATCTCCAGTCTCTGTCTCCGTGCTCTGAGCAGCTCTAGGAGATACTCCCATAGGCGTATAACGTTGTCCTTTCTCGCAGTAATGCGTTTGATATCATGGTAATTTTCAGTCTCAAGCTCCTTTGCTACCGCAACCACGGCCTGGACTCGTTCTTCATATGCTGCAATGTCTGTCTCAATGGCCTCATGCTTCTTTGTTGCAGCCTCTACTGCTGGAAGGTCAAAGCCAAAATTATCCTGTAAAGACAGACACACTTCTTCAGTAATGGCTGCTGAGGAAAAAAGCCCTACTGCTCATAACGTGATTTCTGATTGTGCAGAATACACTTGTTAGCAAATTTAGGATCTCAAAATGCTTTGGAAAGTCTTCTTTAATAAAATCAGAGATATTTCTGATAACCAGTAAAGCACTGATAAAATCAGAGATATCTTTTACTGTCTTTGGGAGAAGAATCATAGTGACCATCAAAATTAAGCTGGGGTTTTGGCTTTTTTACAGCCATCGCTAATAATAATAATAAAAAAATTTAATTCCTGGCTAAATCCACTGAATTGACCAAACTATTCAGATAAAGAAAATCTTGAGTGTGAGTAGATATTTTCACATCATTATCTCCCGAGTACAGACTGATAGATTCAAGGAAGGGATATCCCAAATGCATTAAAGATAGGACATATAGCACATGCACATTTACACAAAATAAACATTTGCACACACATACAACAAATATAAATATACATAGATTCAGTAAAATATGAGGCACAGGGGAGGAAATGTTCTCTTTGCAAGAGCTGTATCCTATAATTACTCATGGGAATCATTTCAGTCACACAGACAATTTCTGAAAGCAGCACCTGAGAAACAAGACGTTGATTTTCACTCAGCCAAGTTTCTCTCATAGCTGCCTTGCGATCAAATCTGCGTGCGAGTTGTTCCAGTTTCTCTTGTCTGATGAGCTCATTTCGCAGTGCCAGTTCTCTTTCATGTTCAGCTTTTTCCAGTCTTTCCCAGGCCTGAAGACATGGAGAAAAAAGATGCGTCTTCTAAACACATATTCTTACAGGGTTATGATAAATCACATCATCTTTGCATGAAATCAGGACTGAAGTCACTACAGTCAAGTTTCACAAATCTTGCTTATTTATTTATATGCCAATAAATCTAGTTTGTATTGGCTGGCCTTATACCTTGTTTGCTAATGTAAGTGCATAACTTAAAATTTGTTCTCAATTCATTCATATGTTTTCTGAGTAAGGGGTATAGGACTTGTTTATCACGAATACATTTTCTCAAGTTAATTTTGTTTTTACCTCCAACAAAGCCTAAGCAAACAACCTGACTTGAATGCGTAAGAGAGTATCTTTAAAAAAAATTAAAAAATAAAAAAATCTGAGTGCTACTCCCAAATAGGTGGATTCTCTCTTTCTCCTTTAGGAAATGAGAATCAGAGATTCATACCCTCTCACCTCTAAAATCAACATACAATTGTTGTTCTTTATTACATACCCTTTGGAAAAGAAAACAACTGCAGAATTCCGTTACTTTTGGCGCATACCAGTCCTTTTTTCCCCTCAAAGCCAAAAGTTATTCACATGACATTAATATAACAAAAAAAAAAAAGTCTTAGAAGCATATTGAAAACCAGCTAATCACCTTTCAGATGTTCTTACAAACAACAAAAATACCCACAGTTAATCACAAACTACCCTAGATTCTTCTAAATCCTAACAGATGTGAAATTGCCTGAAACCCAAGCATTTTAGGCATTCACAGGCACAGGGGCTTAATGCAAACAAGAGAGCTGTGCAGTTTACTGCTCTGTAAGATGCAGACCAAGACCACAGACACCCCAGAGCAGCTGCTCGGGGAATGCCAAGCATGATCAAACACAAACGAGGAAAGCTCACAGCCTTAGGTTGTTTGTTATCCTTGAGAGAGCTTGTCAGCTCTGCTGCTGTTCTGCCAGCTGCACCAGCATAAAAAATAGCTGCATAAACTCTCAGAGGGAACCTACAATCATTGGTCATGGTGCCTCCTTCACCTCCCCACGCCGCAGGCAGAGGGGCCGAGAGGCAGATAGGGAGGGCTACAACACCTAGATACTGTTGCTATTTTCTGTCAATTAACTCTAATAGCCAGGATGCCAGAGCAGCGAGGCACAGCTACTAGAGCCATAACGCACTGCGCAGAACGAGTGTTTTTCCAGTGCAGAAGATCTTACAGGTGCTGAGGATACCAGGAACATAGTACAGATTAGTGCGTCCAAGTTGTAAGAAAAGGGTCACCCCACCTCGCCCATCCCTTATGGTCCCCTACATCAAGGCTGGAGATAGCAAATGCATTTCTTCCCAGTGTGCTGAGAGAGGTTGAAAGATAACAACAGAATCCTGAGTTGCACAGGAGGAGCCGGCTCAGTTTACCTTGTTAATGTCAGAGATGAGTTTGCCCTCCCTTGGCATGTATACTTTCTGATTGTTGGCTCTCATTTTGCTTTGGATGGTAAAAAGCAGCACTTCTAGGTTTCCTTTTTCTGTAAATCTAAACAAATTTTTTGTAAAAGAATTGAGTTACAATAAAGCTTTCATTGCTACTCAGGTATTACAAAGCACCTCTTTAAAATACTGACACGAATGGAGCATTAAGATAAACACCTTCATCTTGTGTGAAAGCTGGAAGCAATTGAAATAGCCCACACATCCCCTGGAACCAGTTGGGCCAAACAGCAAAAGAAACTTCACAGAAGTCAGTTGTCTGTGTGTTTAGATTTAAACCCCCTTGGGGGACAGAAGACTGCGGGGTTTTTATTCTGTTACGTGTGTTGTCCTAGTTTATCAACTCAAGAAATGGAAGTTTTATTTAAAGCCCACTGCAGTCAATAAACTCTTCCCACTGCTTTCCCTGAGTTGTATGCCTGGGAAATAAACAAACTCCATAGGCATTAGGGAATAGACAGCAATTTTCAGAGATGTCTGGATACTCTGTAATGCTTTGGAATGTGATTATTATCAATTAGAACTACAGATCTGATATCATAATGCTAAAAGAAACTTTACAGAAATAAACATAGCTTTGGATATATCAGTTTTAGTAAGCACAGCTTTGTTTTACAAAGCCAGACATGTTTCCTCTTGATTTTGGATAAGCAGTAAGATTCTTTTAATAGCAGTATATTGGTATTATATGGTGCTAGCAAGCATGACTGGTGATATTACTATACTAACATGGTATGCTATTAGTACTCATGTTATAAGGCAGACATCTCAGGGAAATGACAGCTTCCAGGACTCTGAGGAGGATCCTGCAGGCACAGGATCACTGAGACACACTTTTTATTGTTTCTGTTGTTACTATGTGCATATTGAATAGCATAATAAAGCAAACAGACTCCAAGTAATAATGATGAATGACAACTAGAAATATGATATCTGGGTCTGTTCAGAAAAATAAATTCTTAAGCCAAGATTAAAATTACTTGGAGGTGTTTGTTTTTAAGAAAAATCAATGACTAAACAAAACAAGACCACTGTTGATTTAAGCTAAGATTAAAATTACTTGGGTGGTTTCTCTACTGTGCGGTAAGTGTTGAATGCCTGCAGCTGTTGTTGCACACCAACTAGGGAATTGGCAAATTTGCGATTGTTGAGGATGATAATGGTTTGCTCAATCCACTCAAGAAGGTCAGAAGCCAGAGATTCGTATTTTTCAATCATTTTCTCCGTTTCAATGGCATTGTCAAGCACCTGCAACAAGCAGCACAACATAACATGAATAACAAGGGCAGTGCTCTTCAGAGTCATTTAAATCCAGCAAACTACATAAAAGAAACTGTTGGAAGACCTGACTTATGAATCAGACCACTCACTTCTGAGCGCCACAAGGGCTGGGATCTCTGAGGAATGAGGGCTTTGCATTTTTCAGCAGTGAATTCCCATGATCCTATGGCAATAGAGGGGCAGAGCTGAGGCTTACAAAAGGATTCACGTTCAGTCTGCCAGCTATAAAGATGCAGGCAACTTTGCCAAAGGGTGGAGAATGACCGCACATTTTTTTAAATGAGGGACTTTTCTGGCTCCAGAAGAGACAGAGGACCCAGAGGGTGAAGAGCAGTTCACAAGAAAGGAAAAGCAGCAATGATGTAAAATTAACAAGCAAAAACAAAACACTAGTCAAATGTTTTCTAATAGGAAGCAGCTGGAAATTAACTACTCCTCACAGTCATATTTGACTGGATATTTGAGGATTTGACTGAGGATATTTGACATTCAAATCATGTTCAAAAACAAAACTAAAAACTACCATACAGTAGACTCAAGAGAAAAAAATATTTCAACTGCTTTATAACAATTTATAATTTGAACTTGCAAACCTTTCCGATACGTTTTCCTTCAACAGCTAAAGCTTTCATCTTGGAGAAGTAGTGGTAATACGTCACCACATAGGTGATGATTGACTTTTCATCAGGATGATCAACGCTGATATCTGCAAACCAAACAAGAGCTGTCTCAGCATGGGTTAAAACAACAAAGCTAATAATGCAACAAGGATGGGTTTAAGAGAGGGAGAGGTGGGTTCAGGGGCAGTTCAGCTTGAAGATTTGTGTCCAAATCAGAAATAAGTGGAGCTGCCTTTAACTGGTCCTGGACTACTGGGGGTTGTACAGTATTGAACTCTGTCACCAAGAAGTGCTAATTTATCCCATTGTCTTAGTGCAGACTGTGGTTAAACACGTGCCTGTGGGCTAGCGGCCTTTGGGCCTTAGAGTCAGGTACCAGACTTTGTCACAGCTTGTGCACAGCTAAGTATCTTCTCTGGTGTATATGTGAGTTGACAGAAATACTGCTAATTGTGAACTTCAATGCTATATCAGCATTTGGTAAGAGGAATTCAAACATAATAGTATGTCTGTCCAGGCAAATCTTCTGAAAGATACTGATGGAAAACAAATTATTTCCTTTCCTGCAGCAATTCTGAGGCACTGAAAAATAAGCAAGAAGAAACTCGCCCAACACACAGCCTCTGTTTGCCCTGTGACAAGAAAGTTTCTTGTCCTAGCATTGTGAGCACACCTTCCAATATGCACGAGCGTGAACACTCTCATGAAAGCACAGGCTAAAACTGACTGACAGTCTGTGAAAGAAGCTGCTCAATATTTGCTGAAATACAATCATTCATCTTTCATCTCACAAAAAGTGTTTCTCAGAGCAGATCAGAAGGATGCTTCTAACTGGAATGATTTTATGTATACATGGCCAGTCCAGTGATCTTGTCAGATGAGAGAAATAAACACAGGATTAAGATCTCCTGTGCTACAGGTGCTCAGTGCTCTGCAGGAGACATCTTGCATTCTCTCCTTCCCTCTCTGGCTGTATCACCAGGTGAGTCAGCAGCATCCAGCCTCTCTTTAACACAAAAAGCTATCACAAAGCTGTGCCCTTCGACAAGGAAGGGTGGGAGAAAAGAGCCTACAAAGAGCAGCGAAGCACTGAAACACTGAAACGGCAGGAATTCTTACCCTCAGGGTCCAGGAGCTTAGTAAGACCAAGGTGTTGCTCTGCAAGGTTAAAAGCATTCTGCAGATTGTAGTGTGCATTTGATTTCTTCAGCTTGTCAAAATCAATCAGATCAGGCCTAGACAGGATGGAAAATTCTTTAGATTTCCCAAAGCACAGTACAGCCACCCTCAAATGAACTAAAATCTGCAATCCCCAGAAAACCTGGCCCCTCATGCTGCCAAGGTTTTGCTTGCCCGGTAGCCCTGTGCATTTCAACAGCAGTATTAAAGGAATGAAGCAGTGCCTAGCACCTGCCATGGCAGTACCTAGCCCATGGCAAAAACCAAATAGTTTACCAGGGATAAAGGTGACCTGGTAAAGAAAGGAATGAAGTGTGCCCTCCTCATGCCTAAGTGCATAAGCCACCCCAATAGCTTCACCTGAGCATGCCAATGAGCAGCATCCCCAGTCATGTCAAAGTCTAGCACCAGATTCTGCCATCTCTGCACAGGTATTTCTTTCCCCTCCATGTTGCTACTGCGCGTCCTGTCCCCATCCTGCCCCGCCCCCAAATTCTAGGCCACCAGACCTGATCATCAGTTACTCAGTAAGGTACAAAAACCTTTCCTTCCAACCTGGTTGGTCAAAAACCAAAACAATCACAAGTATAATTTATTCTCTTGAAAGAAAACGCAACCTGTTTTAATTTGTGATGTGAGAAGCTGTTGCCCAGATGAGCTCGCAGTGACTGCAAGAGCTGTAAAGTGCTAAAGAAAGGCAAGTTGCTGTAAAACTCTCAGCAACTCTTCAACTTCCTCCTCTCCACAGATTTTAAAATCAAGCTGCAAGGTAACCGTAAAATCCAGTGCACGTTGCAACAATCCAAGCTTTCAAAATCCATAAAGACATTTACCCACACATACCTGTGCTTATGTATTAGTGCATTGAAAGCCATTCCGTCCCTCCAGCTTGTTGTAAAGTTGTGAATGTTGACATTGGGGTAACTAACAGAACAAAAAACAAAGAGAGCACAATCAATTTCGCATCCCTGCTGCAGCTCTGCACACTCTGTCACTAAAGACTGGTTGTAGGAGTGACACATTTATTGTAAACCTAAGGGTGGATATTACCATCTCACGATGGACAATCTATCATCATGACTCTTCTCTAATCAAAGACCGACACTAGAGGTAAGCGCATCTCATTTACTCTTATAAACCCCATAGAATTGATGATGCATTCCAGAGAATGGCTTTAAATGAACTCTGACGTAATCACTTGAAGCTACTATTTTATAAATTGCTGCCCAACCTGCAGCCTGTGAGGTCCCAAATCCCTGCCAGTCTAAAGACTGCTCCTGATTTCGCTGTTGGTAAAGAATTATTTTCAGGTACTCAAAATGTCAAGTTCAAGAGAAGAGCGGGAACAGCTGGAGGAACAGACAGGAGTAAAACATTTCTGATGGCTGCAGGTGCCACAGCAGCAGTGATACCTTACGTTTTCCTTTCAATAATCTGCTGTCCCAGGGCATCTTCAAGGACTAGGTCTAGTCACTATCTGACTTTTAAACAGAGCACATATGATAGCCACCTTTGTGCTCCATGGGAACACATATGGAAAATTAATTTGTTTGGTGATATGGGTATTTGCAAGTCTCCCAAAATTTCAGGCTGCCCACAAACCACTTTCATAAGCGTTCTTGGAAGGAGAAGATGAAGTACCATTAGAATAATGCTGAAGAGCCCCATGTCGTCACAGGGACATTCAAGTTTCATGGGAGAAACATACTGAATCTCTAAAAATGGATATTTAATTATGCAAGAAGGTTACTGTCACAGAAAGACATTCTGGAAGTATTTCCATATATATGAAAAGAGGGAAAAGTTGATAGCAAACATATGAAGCATCATTATTTCTTCAGAGTAGGATGAAAAAGAGTCAACATATTACTATATATTAATGGATTATCAGATTGGTATGTTTATCACACAGCATTAATATAATAAATTCTGAATTTTTTGACTTGTAAACATCAATTAACTTCTTTTGGTTCAATCCATTTAAGGAGAGATGTGTTTGCCCATTTAAAAATATTTCAATGAAAACTCAAAATGCTGTAAAAGCTTTAGAGATAATCAGTTAATCCCCACTCACCCAGCTGTCTTCATCTGGCACCACAAAAGCAAAGCATCTTTAGCAGATTTCTTCTCCTTGTTGTCCTCAGTTTCAACACTGATATCTTGGATCTAAAATTAACATAGAAGGTTTAAATATTTCTCTGAGAAAACACAGTTTGCCTTTTTTTGAAAGATCAAAGGAATTATATCAGACTATAAGTAACAAAGGAAATTTATGATGACAGACAGGGTGAAAGTAGGTGAATGCTCTTCCTCACTTAAGAGCATTCACATCAAAAGAAAGCTTCATCTGCCCTTCTCTTACTGGAGGATTACTCTTTGTTTAGTCCATTAACAAAACTTTTAAATTTCACGAGAAAATTCCTTTCCAACTGCAAGGCAAACCCTGCCCTGTGCAGCACCCTGTGAGGTGTCTCTTGTGGGAAGCTGAGCACAGTCAGGAGCCAAGGGGGGTGCAGCAGGTAAGGGTCTTTGTGAGGGGATCCACAGACAAAAGCTAACCAGGAGTTTCATAGGAGCAAACCATTTTGGAACTTGAGGCTTGAAGAAAATAGTGCTTGCCCTTAGCAGCATCACAACTGAGGTTCTAGGGTTTTCCATCCTTTTTGAACTGACAGCAAAGAGCAACATGCAACCTGCTTTAAAACAAGAAATCTCAGCCTTTAGCTGGGATGCTAAAACAATTCCTGTGGGCTCCCTTAATCCGCTTCAGTGCAAAGTCAGGCAGTTTAATGATAATCTCCACAGAGGTGAAGAGCAGCTGAGGGTAGCATTTCCTCCTGGGTCTGCAAGACTGTATAGGTCTATATATGGAGCTTCATATTTATTAATAATTTGAAAATAAAATCATATTCTGCTCCACACAGGAAACTCTCATTGGTGCCACTACAGATCAGCAGCACCATGGAAACTGATTTATCCTCTCCCCTGAGCTCTGGAGCAGGTCCTGCCAGATGCTAAGAATTTTTCACTCCCATCGTCTTGGAGGGCCTAGGAGCACTCTACTCTTAAAAAGCACAAGAAAGTGTATTACCAACAAGTATGGAAAACTCAAACACGTGTATATCTGTGTATGTAAACTTCTTTACCTGGAACCTCAGGATAATAGTCCAAATAAGGCCAAGTGTCAGCCTGTGATTCCCATCCACAATATCATGAGATCCCATGTTTTCTAAGTGTACTCTTTGCTCTTTCAGGAACTGGAGGGCTTTATCAACATTCTCCAGGCAATGGATGCGCATCCTTCCCTTAGTTGGTTTAGGCTAGAAGGTAAAAAGAAGAAAAACGTGTATTACTGTAGATGGAAGGAAAAAAAAAAAGTGCTTGTTAACTCTTCAGTCCAGGCAGATGAGTCACCACGTTGTCCCCTCCCAGCCTGCAATACTGTATGCATGTGTTCTTCAAATGTGATGGACAAAACTGCTCCTTGCATTTCACAGTACCTTTACACAAGGGTAATGGTAGCACGTGTCGAACCCGTGGTGGAAATGCCAACATTCTAGACCTGAGCTGCACACACTGGGTACCAACTGGAAAGGCCAATTTGCTTTTCAAAGTATTTTGTCTGCTTACTTCCTTCTTTTTTTTTTTTTTTTCTAGGATATTTGTTATTTTAAGATCATGCCACACCTGCTACATTTTCCCAAGATGCTTTTTTTCTCCAGTACAAGTTCTTCCACATGTAAAAAGAAGATTCTGCAAAGATGAACATATGACACAAACTGATAACTGGCATGCACGGGCAATAGAGGGACTTGGTAATGAATGCTTCAGAGAGTGTCTGTAAATAAAGATACACACTCTCCAAAAAGGCAGCTCAGATTTGGACTGCAAGCTACTCAAAACTCGTTGAGGAAGAAACAGCATTGCTTTTTTTTTTTTTTGGTCAGTTGAAGGAGGATAAATAGTATTAAAACAACAGAAGGTATTTATTCTAAACAATGTCTTTATGGGAAAAGAAAGTTAAAAAAAATGAGCCATACCACTGTAACACAATTTTATGAAGGCCCAGTGCAAATGAAAAAGCTACAAATCTATAAAGAGCATGCAGAAGTCTTCTGTAAAACTGAGTAAAATTAAAGCAACTTTGTTCTGCAGGTAAGGATTAGAGTCGGATAGCCTGTTCAGTGCTCAGTGAGGCGTCACCAAAGGTACTCAGCCAAACTACTAATCGATGTAATTTCTTTGTTTTCTGCAGTGAATGTAATTAACTGGCCATGGAAATAGCTCAGACAAAATCCTCGCCTCAGACTGCATTCAATGGGAAGAGTTTCAGCTGGAGTCAAACTATGGTCTCTAGAAACAGTAATCTGTAAAACAGTGCATCACGTAAACCCCCGAGGTCATTAGTTTCACTTCAGCCTTCAGTCAGCATGGTTCTCCTCCTGAGGCCAGGTAACCATGCAGAGAAAGTCAACCCACAACTGCCAGCAAGGGTGAAAACTTCCAGGAACCTACCACTGCTTTTGGGCAGAAAAGTCCTTCCGAAGAGGCATGAATTGCACATACACCCTATGCACATACCACACGCCCCAAATTCTGCAGTACAGGGTGAAGAGCCATAGTGTGAGTGAGAGAGAGTGTGAAGTTACATGGTTGGCTGAAACCAACCAGAGATCCCTTCCTATCAGTGGAGACAATCTGCCATTCATCCTTTTGCTAGCACCATCAGTCACCTGGACCACAGGTTTAATCTTGCAAAACACAGGTAGGAAAGCTGTTCCCAGGGTGGGAGGGGGAGCGCCCAGCTGCGGGGAAAGGTGGAGGTGAGGCTGCGCCCAGCAGCTGCCCAGCCCACGACTCCCTCCAGCCTGCTGCCACACCTGAGGGCCTGAGATCAGCTTTAACAGGTGTGCTCACTTTTATGGTGA